GGTTTAGGGCTTCGGGGTCTAGGGTTTAGGGTTTAGGGGTTTAAGGGTTTTGGGGTTTTGGGTTTTGGGGTTTAGGGGTTTTGGGGTTTTGGGTTTAGGGTGCACTTGAGAACTATGGGCTTCACGGTTCGGGCTGGGGTCTAGTTTTAGAAAATTAAGGCCTACTTGTAGGCAATATAGATCCTTTTTTGTGGTTTATGTTTAGGATCCTATAAGGTTATGGTTTAGGGTACATTTAGGGTTTAGGGGTTTGGAGTTTGGGGTTTTGGGGTTTAGGGTTTAGGGTTTGGGGTTTAGGATTTGGGGTTTAGGGTTTAGGCGTTCAGGGTCTAGGGTTTAGGGGTATAGGGTTTAGGGTATGGTTTGGGGTTTGGGGTTTGGGGTTTATGGTCTAGTGTTTGGGGTTTAGTGGGGTCAGGGTTTGGGGGTGTAGGGTCTAGGGTTTGGGGTTTGGGGGTTTGGGGTTTGGGGGTTTAGGGTTTAGTGGTTTCAACCTTCAACCGCAAGGAACATCTCGCGGGGGCACCCTTCTCCCTCTCCAGTTCCATGTGGTCCATCTTGGCGCCAACTCCATCTTTGCCCCTGACCTGTCAGTCACCGTTATGTAGGGGCCTTAATAATTACAATAGGGTTTGGGGCTCCTTTATGGCATAATCATAATCAGGAGCCCTAAGAATAATATAGGTAATAATTTAGGCTTCTATAGTAGGACACCCGCGGTAAGCATGGACCATCCCGCAACGATGATGGAAGACTATGCAGGGACACATTACTGACTATTGTCCCTTTATACCCCCCCTAAACCCTACACCCTAAACCCCGTACACCCTAAATCCTGATCTCCTAAACCCTTAACCCAATAGGTCAAAAAGAGACCCTCTGGGAATCCATGTTATTTGAGTGTGGCTTCAAGGTTTCGGGTTGCCAAACTCTATAGTAAACCCCCAAAGTTGGAAACCGGATTAAGGACAATGGGATTCCCTATACATTACTCTTAAGGATTGAGGAGTGCGGCCATTGGGTTTCCAACTTTTGGGCTTGCAATAGGATCGAAGGCTTTTGCTCTAGATGTAAGACCTCCAACTTGCTATTTCTGTAACGGAATTGAAGCCCAGGGTAGTGGGATTTGAAAGCCATTACATTTGCTTTGGACGTGCATGGTGTAGAAGTTCTGGTGCGACTTCGACTTGTCAAGTCAACAAAACGGCTAGGGCTACACTCGAAGTGTCCAAGCACCTAGCAAGAATTATGCTCCACGTTGCTACTGACTTCTAACCTAAACCTAAATTCCTATCTAACTAATTGTACTAATTGTCAGAGAGGTACCTTGGGCCCCTACGGAAATCCTAAGACCCTTATGTGATTGCAAACTCCTGAAACCCAGAAAAATTAAAAGCTTGCCTTCGTCGGCCCAGCTTGGCTCCGGCTACTATTTTACTTTCGGTACAACAAGAAAGCCGTCAAACTCCGAAACGCCAAAACCTGGCACCCGCCACCCCAACAACCGAAAACCCGAGTACTTGGGATTCGGGTTGAGGGTATCTGAAGATCCAAGCCCAAGATTTCAGCAGCCGCTTCTTTATACTGCCAATCCTAGTCAAAGAACTGGTTTGGCCGGGTACGGCCACACGACGCATCATACAAGGTTTCTGTGCAGAGCGCAGGGTGGCCAAGTCTCGCAAAATGCTTGCAGGGGGCCCTTAATTAACCAGAACATAGCAACTCAACCTTCAGCTTTTCAGCCCTAAATCCTAAATCCCATCTTGAATTGCAGGGCTTAGCATGCAGGGGCGCGGCACCGTTCTGGAATAGGCATTTTAGCCGAACTCCTGCACAGCGAAAAACCAGCCACAAGGAAAGTGGTTTAGGGTTCAGGGTTTAGGGTTTAGGGTTTATGGTTTAGGCGACGAAAAGAAACCCCAATCTTTGATGAGTTTAGGGTTTTAGGCAGAATCTTCTGGAAACCACAATAAGAAGAGCCTTCCTTTGCCGGTCATTCCTTCCTAAAGTCCGGAAATCCTAAACCCGAAAACCCCAAGCTAAATCCTAAGCCCCAAATCAACTAATTACTAGGTTCCTGACTGACCCCTAAATAATAAGGGTGACCTTTTTTCCTGTTGTTCAGCTTTAGTACCGGAACCATACAACAAAAAGGGCAAAAGGCTACTACTCAGGAACCTAGACTATAAACCCAGCACCGTAAACCCACATCCTAAAGCTCCTGCAAAAACCCCATTCCAAGTAGTACGGCCCTATAGTAGAACCCTTGCAGTACCCCTTAAAGCAGCAAAGGGTCCTAAACCCTAAACCCCTAAACCCCTAAACCCCTAAACCCCTAAACCCTAAACCCGAAATCCTAAACCCTAAACCCTAGAGCCCTAAACCCTAAAACCCTAAACCCTAAACCTGAAACCCTTAAAGAACCCCTTAAAGTCCCGAACCCCACGTCCGACTCTGGCGTCAAGGCCCTGCGCTCAATGCTTTCAGGGAGATGATTGTTGCAGAGCTGCGTCTGATAAGCTGTGATACAGGTTTTCGGTTTAAGGGTTTAGGGATTTAAGGGTTTAGGGCCTTTGGGTTTAGGGCGCTGTGATAAGCTCAACAACAGTTTAGAGTTTAGAATTTAGAGCATGGAAGGTATACCTATAGTCTCTCTTTTGGGGGCTACCTCGTAGCATCCGTCCGACATATATATATATATATGTATAGATATTAAACCCTAAACCCTGAACCCTATTAAACCCTATAGAAGTAAATATACATATATATATATATACATATATATATATATATGACTACTCGGTCAAACCGCAACGCGGAGCTTCAAGGGACAAACTCGGTAGGTTTAATCTTGGTCATCAGTGAGTCAGCAGCACTTCATTCAATGTAGGCGTGCCTCTACTCGACTGTGGATGAGAAGAAGGCCCCCAAGCCCGGAAGTGGAGATGTGAACCCTAAGCCCTAAACCCTGAACCCTAAACCCTAAACCCTAAAACCCTAAACCCTAAACCCTAAACCGTCAAAATCCAACGGCAGCAACAACTAGGTTTTCGGCGTCAGGGAAGCTTGGCTGTGCCGGAAGCTTTCAGAGTGCGCAGCTCTGCGAGAGTTAACAAGGATCTTCCTTCAGGACCACATGACTCCCTGGGAGGTCGGGTTTCTGGTTTAGGGTTAGGGTTTAGGGTTTAGGGTGGAGCAAAATCGAAGAAGTCGACATGACCCCGTCATTTCATCATTTCAGGTGAGCACGCGTCGAACTGAGTCAGCTACGTCGCCGCAGCTTCCTTGAGCGCAACGTGTGGGGCCATGTACGCCCAGAGTTTGGCCATTGGCCAGCTAGGTGCACTTTGTGCACGCAGGAACGCAAAGTAGGCACTTTGTGCCAAGGAGGCATGCCGTATGCAGAGCTAAAGCGAGCATATGGTCTCCAAGCTGTACAGGAAGTAGCCTCCGAGCTATAACGGTGCTCAGTATGCGACTAGGTTTACCGCAAACCTATAAACAGTCAGCACGGGAGCACCAGCTAGGTAAAAGAAGGCGAAGAGAATCGCCGGTTGAGCCGACTCAAGCATAGCTCTGAGAACAAAATGTTCAGTAGCCGGGGGCTGTACACTAAGCTGCAGGTCTCAGTAGAACTCGTCACAGGAAGTCAGAGGAGCCGAGGCCTGCGCCTTGAAGCCACGCAGCTGCCGAGGTCGAAGCCAGGAGCCCAGGCGAGCCCAGTTTCGCGCCGAGCGGCAGTAGAGAAGGAAGCCAAAGAGGGCGCCACGCAGTTGTCACACCAAACAGTCGTAGCGCAGCAAAGCTGGAAGCGTCCAGGGCCCCGTCATGGAGCCGAAGCCGCAGTAACGCCCACGAGCAAGGTCCCGGAGACACGTCATGGTTACCTCGCCCCAGGCGGGAGACACGTTGAGGTAGCGGGGAAGGTCGCCGAAGTGACCAGAGTCGTAGTCCAGAGCGTCCGGGGCGCCAGCGTACCAGCGCAGTTCGGGAGCTCCGCCGTGAAGTCACAAAGTTGCCACGTCCCAGACAGAGCGCGTCGAGGAAGCAGCGAGAGTCGCCAAGCTGAGGTAGCAGAGAAGCAGCAAAGCCACAGTGAAGAGCCAACGAGAAGTCCAGGTCCTCAAACAGTGGCCGTCACCAGAAACAGTGTCCGTCACCAGAAAAGGTCGAGGAAGGAGCATCAGTCACCAGCGCAGAAAGCGAAAGCAAGCACAGTGCCGGGGACTAAGGACCCACCTAAACCCTAGGGGAACGGGCAGGGAGGCCTACTCGTCGTCGTCGTCAAGAAGGCGCAAGCCAGCGATGCGCCGATTGGCACCAGCACGACTGTACGCATCTCCAGCGGACGCAGTGAGTTGAATCACCGCCTCGCTCCACTGCAAAGCCGCGCGACGCTTGAGGTGCCAAGAGGCTCGAAGCGAAGCCTGATGCCGCTCATGCATGATGGCCTTAGCCTTGGCGTCGGCCAGGTCGTTGAGACGACGGCTAGTGGTGGCATCCAAGGGGAAGTCAGGCGACCACCGCTCATTTCTGCCGTGCGCCGGGCACCACTTGATGACAACCTGCAGGCCGGCCGCGCCAGCCACACGAAGGTCCTCTGCGATGGCACCGGCCAAAGTCGCCAGCACACAGTTGGCCGGCTGCTGGACTGCGCGGATGGCGGCCTCACAGTCACAAAGAACGTACAGAGTAGCTTTGAGCCCTTTCGCGGCACAGCGCCTAGCACCTGCAGCAAAGGCCTGGAGTGCAACCAGCTCAGCCCGGAAGCTGGACTGGTCCTCGTTTGTGTCACTGAAACCAAAAGCCGGCGTCTCGGTGTCCTTCAAAAGCACCACAGAGGCACCAGCAACGTCCTCCAGGAAGACCCGTCCGTCGCCACGAAGACCCGCGACGTCAGGGTGGTCTTGCACGCTTGCTCAAGTGCAGCGCCAAGGCGCGCGCCGTCATCGTGGCAAATGTCAGGAGCCGGCGGGTAGCAGTCAAGGGGCGGAGCAAACAGCCGCTCCGATGCCCGATCCGTAGGCATGTCAACCGCAGCGGCCGTGCGATATGCAGAGGTGTGTGGACACACCCACGTGAGGTGTGCCCGAGAGGGCTCCTTGAGCCCGCACATGCACAGGTTTGAGCCGAGCCCAGGCGCTCCTTTGCGGCCTGCCTGGTAGTACCAGTAGCTGGACCCAGCAGCTGCCGCCGCCCGGTGCACAGAAAGGCTGCTCGAGTTTAAGAACGTTTTGCGGTGCACCGTGAAGTCAAAGGCCGAGTGCCTTGGAGGCTTTGGAAGGCAAAGGCCCCGGGCGCACTCGCTGTCTTGCCGATGATAGGTGGCACACACCCGTTTGCACTTGTGGACCCCTTGGCTCACGAAAGCCTCCACGAGCCAGAAGTGCAAGGTTCGCAGGTTTGTTTGCCCAAACAAAAACTCACGGGAATTTCCCTGGGCGTCAACTCTCCGGATGCCCTGGCCGTTAGGCAGAGCACTCCAGCCTTGACGTTGCAGAGCCTCCGCCGCCTCAGGAAGCAAGACCCTCCACGGCGCAGCGCCTTCAGTGAGAGGGGCATCCTCTAACCACAGGGGCCGGTGTGTTGCAAAACGACAAGCCCGCCGCAAAGCAGTGTAGTCTCTAAGGAAAAAGGGGCTAGTGTGCCATCCTAGCAGAGCGTGCTGAAGAAAAATCGGCACCTCATGCGTGAAGCTCTTAGGGAAGACTCGCAAAGTTTCGAACTGAAGCTGTTGCAGGAAGGTGCTGTCTGGGGCCGCCACACCTGCGCACCAGAAGGCACTGGCAAACACAAGTGGCCAAAGCAGCTTGATCTTACGAGGCAGGGTGGCCGGGAGGCGCTGCAGAAACCTCAGTCTCCACAGGAGCTTCTCAGGAGCCAAACGCAAAGGACTGGCATTGCCCTCCTGGAGGTCGAGGGTCACCCCCAGGATCTCTAGAGTCTGCTGTATGGGGTAGCCAAGCTGTTGGGCCAAAGGCAAGAAAGGACTCGAGGCCCCAGCGGTAACCACCGCACACTTCGAAGGCTCGCACACAAGTTGCAGGGCTCTGTCGAACTCCTGTGATCTTTGGACGGCAGCTTTCATATGCATAACCTGTTGGGGCGAAGGCTCAACCCAAACTAGGCGGTCGTCAACGTACATGAGACCTTTGGCCGGGCCCCGAAGCACGTGTGTCGCCCACAAATGCCCCACCGTAAGGGCGAGCAAAGGACTCAGTGGGTCACCCTGCACCAAGCCACGGGTTGCTGAGGCCCACCGAGGCGCTGCAAAGCCACGGGAGGTGAAAAGCCTCTCGCTGCCGTTGTACACACTGGCCAGCAGGTGTTGCAGGCATGGCGGCGCACCGAGCTTGCCTAGAATCGGCAACACATCTTGCAAGTGTAGGCAGTCGAAGAAACTTTTAAGGTCTTGCACTATAAAGTTGCGCACCCCTCGTGAAAAAGCACAATGCACTCTGAAGTGGGCGTCCGCTGTGGAAAAGTTTGGGGCTCCGCCAAAGGCGGAGGACGATGTCCACGAGAGGGTCCATTCACGGAGCAGTCGGCTAACGGCCTTCGCGCCGATACGGTATGCTGTTTGCAAGAGACCGATCGGACGCGTGGCGATGATCTTCTTGGGCAGTAACGCCACCAGGCTGCGACGCCACTCCTTTGGGGCCTCGGCTCCATTAAGCAGACACTGCCACAAACTGGAAAACCCCCGCCACCACTGGTCTGGCATCTGCAAGAAATGCTCGGCAGCCCAGGAATCCGGACCGGGGGCCTTGCCTACCATGGTTTTAGCCGAAGCTTGCAGGCAAGTCGGGGAAATGGTAAGGCAAGTCGACCAAACATCACGCTGAGGCAGAGCCTCGAGGATGCGAAGTAGCTCTGGTCGCGGCTTGTTGTCAAGGCGCTCAGAGGTCCACAGTTTGGTCCATTCTTCGCCATGGGTTGCGATCACCGAAGACGGGTGGATAGCAGACACGGAGGAAACCAGAGTCGGTGGTTGCTGTGAAGCCTCAAGGGCCTGTGCAGCGCGCTCCTTGACCCAAGCGATCTGCTTGTGCTCAGCTTGCTCCATGCGGAGCCTCCAACCCTCAAGCGCGGCCGCCTTCTCTTCGGCCACCCGCTGTTCAAGGAGAGCTTGAACCGCCCCGTACACATCACACTCCTGGCCTTCTCGCACAGAGGGAAGCTCAGGGACCAGAGCCCGGAGGCCACGCAATGAACGGATGATGCGGCGGCGCAGGGCCTGATCCGTGGGATCGGCTGTGAGCGTTTCAAGCCGGTTGCACAGTCGGCGCAAGCCTTGAACCCCGCGTGACTCCTTGCCAAAGGGGGTAACCCGTAAGGTGGGGGCCATGCGGGGCTGGGGTACTAGTGGGGTGGTCCTAGGAACAACCCCCGAACCTTTGAGGCCATTGGCACACAATGTTTGTTCACACGCCGACGAAAGGGTGCACCAAGCAGTGTCCATGTCGCCTTGCGCCAAAGCGTCCTCGAGGTGGCCTTGGCTCCACACAGTGTCGAAACGAGTCTGTACCTCCTCCTTAGAAAGCTGTTCAACCGGCGCACGGAGCGGCAGGCAGCATCCTGTGAAGTTGGCAAACAAGTTGAGACTATAGGCCACAGCGGTGTGGTCACACGGACCTGCACAGTGCCAAGCCTCAGTCGGGAAGATGCTTGCGTCACTTAGGCCATAGTCGATCCTGCGTGTTCGCAGGGGGTTGGTAGCACACAGTTGCGTTGGGAAAGAATCGTCCAGCAGACGGACGGAGCCAGTCATGACATGTTGCTGCAAAAGGCCCTCGTCTGCAGTTTGGTTCCAATCGCCCAACATGACAAAAGGACCACGGAAGCCATGGCACGCGTCAACAAGGTCATTGACCATGCCGTTGGTGGCGAGCAGGTCCCCTGCAAAACCGTAAGTGGCCACGAAAAGGACCGGTCGACGACGATTGTCTTGCTCGGCCTCGACTAGCAGGGCTGCGTGCCTGGTGGCCGCAACCGTGACTGGCAAACTCACGGCACGGCTTGGCAAGCGGCAGGCCGCCGCCACACGGTGAAGCCCAGAGTGGGACTCGGGCTTTGACAGGTAAAGCTGCCACCCCAAACCTCGCCATTCGCGGGTGTAAGCGGCGGCGCATTGCCTAGGAATGTCAACTTCTTGCAAAGAAATAATGTCAGGATTAAATGCCGAGAGATGCTGGAGGGTCATGGCAGTGCGTGAGATGCCCGCTCCAGCAAGATTGCAAGAGGCCACCCGGATCACACTGGCGTGCGGATGTCACGGCCCTGCAGGGCGAGCGTGGCCAAGGTGAAGATCACTTTGAGCTCGGGCTGGGGCATCGTATGTTGTTTGGGGTGGCGGCGGCACCAATCCCGAACTCTGCTGAGGATCTTGAGCTTGGCCTTGCGGTTGGAAGCAGCCCAAGCAGGCTTGCACTTGTGTATTTGAGCACGTTTTACACTATGGAAGCATCCCAAGCAGGCGCCGCATCGGTATGCACGTGGGAGGAAGAGTCGGAGATCATCGCTTCCCTTACGGGCCTTAACCAAAGCCGGCCAAACGAAACTCTCGAACCCCGCGGCGAGGAGGTCTGCTCGCTTCTGGAAACATTTGGACACCGCCGCATTCCAGTTTTGAACACGCCTATTGTGGCTGTGCGAAACGCCGAGGCGGGCTTTCTGATGCATGTGCCTAGGCTGCTTGGGGTGCGCCTCTTTAAGGTGCCCACGAATCGCCCGGGCCACAGTTTGCTCGCGGGCTGCATTGGCAACGGCTTGCCTCACTCCACAATTGCACCATTCACAGATCCAAGAGAAGTTGTGCCGCGGGCCCGTGACCGGAACCACGTAAGGCTCTTTGCGGCGGGCAGGTCCAGGAAGGCCCTCTCCATCATGGTGCTTGGCGCAATGCTTGTACCTGATTTGAGCAAGGTGCTGTTGGCAAGTGACCTGGCGGCGGTAGGGGCAGAGCTTGCAGACAAACATGCCTCTCGCTTCGGCTTATCACCTGGGACCTGCGGGGTATACCTAGGGCGCTTGACGCCTGTCGGCGGGGGCGGTGGCACCTCAAGGTCCTCACGTTCCTGGTCGCTCCCCACACTAGGAGCGCAAGTGGCAGCAGCACAAGCCCGGGAGTCCAACGGTTCCACCGAGCAGTCCTGCGAGACCCTGCTGGCTTGCCGTGTCCACACAGTGCCCGCAACAACAGATTGGGGCATGCTTGCTTTCGAAGAAGCTGCTCGCGACTTGGGGCGGGCAGCCCGTGCACTTTGGGAAGCCTGGGCGCTCCACACAGTACCCGAACGGATCGAAGAAGCAGTCTCGGAGCCACCGACTTTGATGCCTTTGACGGGCCCCTCGGTGACCTTCCAGTATTCCTCCGGGTAGTCCTTGGAGGTGGTGTTCTCGCCTTTTGGCCGCAAAAGCTCGAGGTGTTTGTCTTCCAACCATAAGACCAACATGCGCTTGGCCTGGGCATGGAACACCATTGGCGTGAAGGCGTCAGAGGCCGGCACAATGAGCACCCGGATGTTGTAAATGCGGGCAAGTGCCCGGATCTCAAGCTCGGATGAAAACTGCTTAAGCTGCCGAATGGCCGCAAGATAGTCATCAAAAGTCTTGTCCTTGGTGCCATCGGGCAAGACACCGTCCCACTCACTTTCGTATTCCGAACGGTGTTTCTCGATGTGGCTGGTGGCACGAGCTCGAAGCTCGACGTGGCTAAACTCCTTTTGGGTCCCGCCCTTGCCCGCCGAGAGCCAAGCAAGGCCCTGGGCCACAGACGAGAAAGCACAGTTGCCATCGAGATCACAAGGGACGCGCTCTAGGGCCTGTGGAATTTGGCGGGCCGAGCCGCGGGAACGTTTAGCGGCCGGGAGCTCTTTGCCAGCCGCATCCTGGGTAGTGGCTGGCGGTGCTTGGGCCGAGACCGGCACAGCAGCAAGGCTCGTGGTGCGGTCGGGCGGCACATGTGGCACGTTGCCTCTTGCCAAGCGCCTCTGCTGCGATTGGAAAGACCTAGCCGGCGCAATGGCAGCCCAAAGCACAACGGGCGAGGCGGAGTCATCAATCTGAGCACTAAGCGGAACAAGGTCCTTGTCGCCAGCCAAACAGGTGGCTCTAAAGCGGAAGGTCATGGTGCCTTTGTGCAGCCGGTGCGACAAGACGGTGACGTCCTTGAAGCCCTGCGCAAGAAGTTGTGTCACCTCGTGACCGGTCCAGTCTTTCGGCACCTCACTAAGCGTCCAGATGCGCGGCAGGACCTCGCCAGCGACCTTGGCATGCCGCCAAGCGATCCGGTTCCCGAACACAGCTAGGCCGTGTGCCGTAGCACCCCGCAAGGCCCTTTGAAGGTACTGCTCGTCTGCCTCCTGTTTGGAGGTACGGGGAAGCCACTCAAGGCGCACGCTAATGGCATCGCGGCGGGCGGGTTCCACAAAGATTCCCTTCTGGCCCGAAACACCAAGCAAAGTGCCAATGTCAGCAGACGGGACACGGAGCATGCCGAACAACTGCGTGGATTTCTGATCCTTGAGCTGTTCTTCCAGCCAGCCGAAGGCGTCCACGCCCTGGACGTGATGTGAGCTGGCCCACTGCATAGCGGCCTTGGCGGCGTTGCCCTTAAACTCCTTCCAAGTCTGCTCGCTAGCGAAAGCCTTTGGTATGCGCACATAGACCAAAGAGGTCTGCAAAGACTTGACCTTCACCGGTGCCGCCAGCCCTTGGGGGTCCGGGGTCAAATGCTCACTGGCGCTGTTGACCTGAAGCACCTGGGCGGTGCGAAAGCGCAAGGCATCCCCAACACGGCCGGGAATGCGACGGGCATTGTCCCCTTTGTCAAGGTAGATATGCAGCATTGCATACGGCTTGTTTGAGGATTTGAGCATGGCCCGCGCAGTGTCAAGCTGGGGCTTAGTCGCAAAAATGACACCTTTAATCACTTCATCTTGCTTGGCCTTATCGATGAGGCTACCAAGGCTGGAGTACGCAACAAGAGGTGCCGTCCAATCCTGAGCCCTGAGCTGGAACTCGCCCTCATCTTTGGCCTTGCGCGTGACAAGCTGCCAGCCCGCTCCGGTCGGCTGGGAAACGGCACTGCCTTTGCCTTTGCCGTTTGACCCCTGCTTCGGCCCATGAGCCTGCTGTTGCCTAACAACACGAGGTGCTTCGGCAGCTGGCTGCGCCGGCGGCTTAGCACCCTGCTTACCACCGCCCTTCGGACGGTCCTGTCCTTTGGCCGTTGCCGGCCCACTTGTTGGCTGCTGCACGGGGCGGGCCTGAGACTGACCACCTGGCAGCACACCCCCCAAAGCTTCCGCAACGGCCTGCTTGATGAGCTCAGTGATCAAGGGCAGCAACATAGCTTTAAGGTCTAGGCCTTCCAGGCCAAGGGAAGCGGAGTTCCTGGGCCCGGGGTTGGATGCCTCTCCTATTCGGACTCCACAACTAGGGTTGTGGTTGCTTTGCACCTTCGGCAACTGGAGGGGCCCCGGGTGGGACGCCTCACCAACCCTTGTGCCATGCAGGGCGCTGTGCAGCATGTTGCCGAGACCCCGCCACGCAGAGTGGGTGCATTGGCTCAAAGGAGAGCCCGCAAGGAGGGACCTGAAAGGGGCCCAGCACGTCAACTGATCACTCGGGGCCTTGCACATGGCCCTTATCTCTGAAGCACTCTGCTCATGTTTCGGAGTTGCGGCGCACCCTTCTTGCACAAATGAAGGGGCAGCTCGCGTAATCGAGTCGCATTGTTGAAAAGCATAAATCGGATTTGCGGCGCTAGCCTCGCTGACGCAAGGCGCTGCACGCGATGTGGTGGTATGACACAACACTTTGTGGGTGCGGCTTTGGTGATGCACAGCAAAATCAAAGGAACCCTCAAACGCACTTGCACTCTTAAGCCTCCGCAGACCCGCCTGGCAGTTGGCGTCCTTGCACGGCGCGTCAAAGGTGGAGCTCCAATCACCTGCTGGGGCCGGGGTGTTAAGGGCGATTCCCTCAAATCCGGCGGTGGCACTGAAAGAGGCTGGCTGTGCAAAACGCCGGCTGGCTGCACACACTCCTGCTGACAAAGTGCACATGTTAACGTAGGCCGGCTGGTCGGAAGGGGCCAAAGCACAAGCCGACGGCCTACAACCGAGGATGACCTGCATAGGGCTGGCACCTTCAATCACAGCGGCTCTTGCATGCGAGCACTCAAGGCTCTGCGCAAACAAAGGCGGGGTCGTGGGCCTAAACCCTAGGGGAACCCAAGGGGAAGGGCCAGGCACTCCGGCTTGCTCTCCTGAATCCGCGCTCCACGCCGCAAACCTGCCGCTGCCAAGGGCACCGCCACCAGAAACTCCATGGCTTAGGCAAGGCGAGGAGGGAGGGACAAGTGGGGCCCCGAACGGGCCGATGCTACGCTCCGGTTTTAGGGGCCGGCTCCCTTCTCTCTTTTGGGCCCGCAGGCTCTTCGTCGGTCCTTGGGTCCGGTTCCCGTAGATATGAGTGGCCCAGCGGCTCTTGCCCGGTCCTCGGGCCCGGCTCCCATAGCTACTCCTCTTGGCCCTTTGGGTCTTCCGCGGTCCTTGGGTCCGGTCCCCAATGCTACCACAAAGTCCTAGGGCGCTCTGGTGCTGAATCGGCTTGTGGTGCGGGAAGAACTGGCCGCCCGCATCAGCTGCTCGTTGCCTTGGGGCTCTGTCAGGCTGGGCAGTGCTTGCCGCCTTGACTTCCAAAGGCTTGCACTGCTCAAAGTTGCCCTGTCCAGGCGCCGCAAAGTTGAGCATCTCGTGGTGGGACATCACCAGTCCCGGTCGATGGCTTCGCAAAGGAGCCAGTGGTTACGATCACTGGGCAGGTCCGGGCCATCATCGCCGCCGTCCCCACCATCACAAAGGTCCCACTGGCTTGAAAGGTGAGGGCCATCCTCACCCTGCTCGAGCCGAGCTGGATC